TACTACAACAAAGTCTTATTTAGTAAGCAAGTGTCTACACTGTGCTAGGAACCGGCCTTGGCACATACAATGCCCCCTAATCCTTCCAGAACCCCTACGATTCTGTAAATTGTACCTACTTCACAGAAAAGAAACCAGAGGTTCAGAGACATTCAGTAACTTGCCCAAGGTCACGCAGCTATCATATGATGAGGTAGGCGTGTCAACGGTCTGAAGAGTCCCCTACACCACTGGGCCCCCTGCTGAGATAGGATGTGTGATCTCATGGCTGATAATGGCTTCTCCAAGAGCCGGGAGTCCATTGATAAGAAACTTTTGGTTAGACTTTGGTTAATTATCCATCGGGTTCCTATGCCGTACCTGTCAATACTGAAGGCGGAAAATGGATTAGCACAAAACTCACTCGAGAACGCATTTGTAATAGATGGGAACTAGTGTTTTTGTTCTGTCTCATTTTAGGAAGGTCTTTGAGAGTATTTTATTGACTCATTGAAACATTTATTCGATTTACTGTGCTAGACACTCATGGCAGCCAGCCAGAGCTCAGCTGTGGCGGAAAAAATCCTAGTTCTGGTCTTTTATCTTATCTCAAACCGTCCTGCCTTGGAATGACCAATCTTACATCCACACTTCAGCTTTAGATAAAGCTAGAAAACTGAATCAGAGGAGTTAGTTCCGTTTCTGCTCTTCAGACTTTGGTTGATTTTCAAGCTTGTGCGTTCATTCGCTCGTGTGCGTTGCATTAGAAAGTCTAAACCGAAGTCAAATAACGTTCCTAGGCTCTGTCTTCTCAAAATGGTCAGAGTTGCAAATGACTCTGGAACCGGGCTTCACCTTCGCTTAGCCAAAAGTCAGGAAAACACCTCCGGAGGCCTCCTGCCCACCCTGTCCCCACCCGGCCTGCTCACAGCCTGGCCTGCCCGCCTGCCCTCCCCGTCTCCACAGTCGTCTCTTCTGAGCACGGGGCATAAAACTGTGAACCTATTTCCAGTCCTGTTGCCGCTTCTCAGCTTTGCAAGAAGTACAGCCTGCATCAGAGCATGCCCCTTCTCTCCCCAGTGGCAAGAGCCGGGCCCCAGGGAGCTGGCCGCGTGGCAGAGCTTGGGGCCCTGAGCCAGCGGCTCCAGTTGCTGGCTCAGCACCTTGGGACGAGGGCAGACTTGAGGACCTCCCTTGGTCCTCTCTGCAAGGATGGCCAAGCTGCCATCAATTAAGAAGGACCTTAAGAGTGGGCAGAGAGGATTTATGAGCTTCTCTTATCACCAGCTTTGTATCGATTGAGCGTCAAGCACAGAGCCACCTTTCTCCCAGGTGATTTCTGCAGCCGGTGCTGGGCAGCCATCCAGTCCATCAAGCTATGGGGCTGCACCTCCCTCACCCCCTGGGCACCTCCCTTGGCTTCACCAGCCCTGGGGGCCCACCCTGACTCCTCAGCCAATTCCTGCTACGGAGCTTAGGCAGCTCCGGGGCGCTCTGCCTCCAGCCCCTAGATTCCCCCTCACTGCTCAGCGTCCGGCCACCCACCCAGAGCCCCACTGCCTGCCCTCCAGACCACCTTCTGCTCATCTCAAGGTGCTCGCAGGCTGCAGAGAAGCTGGACTATGGTAGGTGCATCTTGGCAGCTGCTCCAAGGTCCTCCCCTCCAGCACCACAAAGCAAGCAGGGAGGTGTCCTGGGGTGAGTCCCCTGTGGCCTCCAAGGGACTTGGAGGGGAGCCTCCACTTTTCTGGGCATTACCTATGTCAGGGGCTGGGAACCCCAGCCAGAAGCCAGGCTTTCAGCCCCCAGGTCCTGACACCTTGTTCAAATCTACCCTGCCCTCTGTCCCCACTCTGGGGCCTCAGGTCTCTGTGGTTTCCCACCCGGTCAACAGCCCCTCCGCACCCCTGCCAGAGCAGCGTCTCAGGAAACCAAATGGGACAAGAAAGCTGTCCGGCTAAAAACTGGAGGTCAAAAGCTAGGGAGATAAGGGGTGCTTCTTCACCTGGAGCAGCCTCTGCTGTCAACCCAGCCCCTTCTGCGGGCCCAGCCTTATCTAGCGCCCTCCCCAGCCCGGCCCACACTCCAGCGGGTCAAACAGCTGTCCTCTGTTACTGGAACACGCCATGCACGCACAGCCTCGCCACCTTTGCACCTGTTGTTCCCTCCCCCAGAAAGGCTTTCCTCCTCCCTTGTCCTCCCAGCAAACTCCTGCTCGCTCAAGGCACAGCTCAAAGGTCCCCTCCCGCGTGAAGCCCTCTCTCCCACCCTGCTTTCGTCTGCTCAGGCTGCCAGAACACAGAGCCACAGACTGGGGGCTTAAACAGTACACGTTCATTTTTCGCAGTTCAGGAGCCCATAAGTCTGAGGTCAAGCTGCCAGCCTGGCCAGGTTCAGGTGAGGGCTCTCTTCCCGGCTCACAGACTGCCACCTTCCCGCGGTCTGCTCACACGGCCTTCCTCTCCTATTAAGTCTATCGATCCTACCGAATTAGGACCCCACCCTTAGGACCTCGTTTAACCTTAATTTTTTCCCTAAAAGCCCTGTCTCCAAATACAGCCACATGGGGGTTACGGTTTCAACATACAACTTTTGGAGGGACACAATTCAGCCCATTGCACCTCCCCAAAGCTGACTCCACCTCCTCCAGAGCCCCATGCCCTACCTTGTTCAGGACGGGATGTCCCTTATGGCTTTATCACAGCATATCCATCCTCTATCCTCATTTTGTCTCCCAACACATTTGATGAATGAATGAAGTCCCACCGCCCCACCCCCTCTCTCTGCAGTGTCTCCCCCTCTGCCAAGAGGCCCTTCCTCCCCGCAGACTTCTCTGTGTCCCCCACTGCGCTCTGAGCTCCAAGAAGCAGGGGCCACTTGTCACTCAACCCTGAGCACTCAGCACCTTGCACAGGGCAAGCCTGGGTGGGTGGAGTATGGCTCTGCTGTAGAATCTGTGCCCCCCAACCCCCCCGGGGGTAAGAGCCCATGGGCTGGGAGCCCCACTTTCCTGGCCTTTCTGACCCCTGTGCACTCATCAGACCCTGCCTGGGCAGGGCCTTATTTCCTCGCTGCAGTTCCTTCCGCTCCCAAGAGGCGAAGCTCCTCTCCTTGCGCGGGCCACCGTCAACCCTGCAGATGAAGTCAGCCATCACCTCCCTCCCTCCTCTGTACCTGCCAGGAACAGGACATTTGCAACAGCGTTTCTTTGTCCCTACACGGGGGGCAAAGCCATTCTGTTTAGCACTGCAGAAAAAAATGAAAATCCCTCTGGGTGTTTTTGCATTTCTCTCCGGGTCTCCCCGCACAGGTGCGTCGTGGTGCACTAACGGGCCCCGCATCTGGCTCCGAGAGCAGCTCCCCGGCTCGCGTCAGGGTATGTATTTAACGTATCTGGTTTTCACTCCCTCAGTCCAAAAGCATCAAGCTAAAAATATCTTGTTTATGAGCTCTGGCCTGAAAATGAAGCAGTTGGGCTATTAATCATTGGGAATATGTTGAATAGGAACTTGATTAAAGCGCAGTGCGCATTCCCCCCATGAAGCTCCCGCTCCGCGGAGACCGCAGTGGAAGCTTGGGCCTCCCCAGCGGTATTTTTAGCTGCTCCTCCACGAGGGTCGTGGCGCCTTGCCAGGCTTAGGAAGGCCTCTGTCGCGTGGGGGTCTCGACCTGCGCGGCCCTGCCATCCTCCAAGGCGAGCGCACGTCCAGCTAGCACCCCGGGGGTAGAGGCGGGAAGCCACCTGCGAGCCCACGAGGCGCCATCCGGGCCCAGTTGCCATCCTTTGCCACCCCCCACCCCAACCCCACCTCCGCGCCAGGATTGCGGAGGAGAACGCGAGGGACGCCACGTGGCTGGGAGACGCTCAAGCCCCTTCCGCCTGCAGCGGTGGGAGCGTAAGCAGCGCCGCGCCCCGCGGGCACCCGGGTCTGGCCGCCCCGGCCCGCACGATCCCGGGGACCCAGCGCCCCGCGAACCTCCCGGCAGAGTGCTCCCCGTGGGCGCCCGGACCTGGAGCCCCGGCCCCTCGACACTGGCGCTCCCGCCGGCGGCGCCCACCTGAATGGGGAGTCGAGGGAGAAAGCAGCTTCAGGCGCCGTGGACTGCGGGCCCCTACTGCGGGGTCCCCGTCCGGAGTCAAGCTCGCCCGCGCCCTCCGGTGCGCGCCCCTGCGTCCCGCGCAGCTGGTCCCGGGAGCCCGCCAGTCCCGCGGGGAGACGCGCGGGGTGGCAGCGCCGGCCCCACGCGCCCGGCAACCCTCGCGCTCCAGCCGGAGAAGTAATTAAAAAGAAAGTTTCCAGCCAGGGCGGATCGACCGGGTGCTCCAGGCTCCCGGGCCGCGGCCACCGCCCCGCGGGGTCCTAGCGCCCTGCTCCGCGGAGCCTGGGGGACCCTGGAGGACCCCCAGGCAGAGCGGGGAGAGGTGCTTCTGCACGGAATCGGGGGGCGTGGGGGCGCCTGGAGAGCAGAGACAGAAGACGCAGAGTCATTGCGCTCTGGGCCTGTCCACGCGCGGTGTGCGCGGGGCCACGCGTCGCAAACAACCGCCCCCCCCCCCGTCCCGTCCCCAGCTCTGCGCCGCAGCCTTGCAGAGCCGCGGGGCCCGGGCAGGCCCGGTTCGCGCTTTTAAAGCGAGTCCACGCCACAGTAGCTCCGCACCGAGACTCGCCCTCCGCCACCCCTGCGCGGCCTCTGGATGCTCCCGGGGCTCCCCAGCCGTTGGCTGGAAGTGGGTGGTTTGGGGAGGGGGCCCCGCCGCCCACCACGTGTGCGCGGGGGCGACAGCCGGGCCAGGGGCGGAGCTCTGAGCCACCGCCGCGGCTGGGCCTGCGGCGCAGGAGGCAGCGGGCGTTCCGCGCGGCCTGCCCGGCTAGCGCTGCGCTCGGGCCCGGCTCTCCACCCCCTTGCAGGGGCGGGCGCTAAGACCCGGGAGGCGCCGCCCGTGGTCAGAGCGGGCCCGGGCACTAGGGGGCGACGCACCCCGGCATAAAAGCGGGGCCCGCGCGGGCCCGGCCATTCGCGACCCGGAGCTGCGCGGGCGCGGGCGCGGGCGGACCGGGCTCCGGCGGGCGGTGGCAGCAGCGGCCCCGCGCAGGCTGGAGGCCGCCGAGGCTCGCCATGCCGGGAGGACTCTAGCTCCCCATGGAGCCGGCCGACTTCTACGAGGCGGAGCCGCGGCCCCCGATGAGCAGCCACCTCCACAGCGCCCCGCACGCGCCCGGCAGCGCCGCCTTCGGCTTCCCGCGGGGCGCGGGCTCCGCGCAGCCCCCCGCGCCACCTGCCGCCGCGGAGCCGCTGGGCGGCATCTGCGAACACGAGACGTCCATTGACATCAGCGCCTACATCGACCCGGCCGCCTTCAACGACGAGTTCCTGGCCGACCTGTTCCAGCACAGCCGGCAGCAGGAGAAGGCCAAGGCGGCCGCGGGCCCCGCGGGCGGCGGCGGCGGCGACTTCGACTATCCGGGCGCCCCCGCGGGCCCCGGCGGCGCCGTCATGCCCGGCGGGGCGCACGGCCCGGCCCCCGGCTACGGCTGCGCGGCGGGCGGCTACCTGGACGGCAGGCTGGAGCCGCTGTACGAGCGCGTCGGGGCGCCGGCGCTGCGGCCGCTGGTGATCAAGCAGGAGCCCCGCGAGGACGACGAAGCCAAGCAGCTGGCGCTGGCCGGCCTCTTCCCCTACCAGCCGCCGCCGCCGCCGCCGCCGTCGCACGCGCACCCGCCGCCCGCGCACCTGGCCGCGCCTCACCTGCAGTTCCAGATCGCGCACTGCGGCCAGACCACCATGCACCTGCAGCCCGGCCACCCCACGCCGCCGCCCACGCCCGTGCCCAGCCCACACCCAGCGCCCGCGCTCGGCGGCGCCGCCGCCGGCCTGCCCGGCCCGGGCGGCGCGCTCAAGGGGCTGGCCCCGGCGCACCCCGACCTTCGCGCGGGCGGCGGCGCGGGCAAGGCCAAGAAGTCGGTGGATAAGAACAGCAACGAGTACCGGGTGCGGCGCGAGCGCAACAACATCGCGGTGCGCAAGAGCCGCGACAAGGCCAAGCAGCGCAACGTGGAGACGCAGCAGAAGGTGCTGGAGCTGACCAGTGACAATGACCGCCTGCGCAAGCGGGTGGAACAGCTGAGCCGCGAGCTGGACACGCTGAGGGGCATCTTTCGCCAGCTGCCAGAGAGCTCCTTGGTCAAGGCCATGGGCAACTGCGCGTGAGGCGCGCGGCTGCGGGACCGCCCTCCGCCAGCCCCTGGCGTGGACCCGGGGAGTGGTTTTGGGTCGCCGGATCCCGAGGCTCCCCGGGCCGTGCGAGCCAGGACTAGGAGATTCCAGCGCCGCCTGAAAGCCTGGCCTGCTCCGCGAGTCCCCTCCCTTCCTCTGCGCCAGACTCGGTGCGTCTGAGACGAGGGGGTCCGGCAGGGAGCTGGGAGAAACTGGGAAACAGGGGCTGAGCTGGGAGCCCAGCGACTCTAGTATTAAGGAATAACCTCGTGCCTTGGAAATGCAAACTCACTGCTCCGATTCCTACCGAGTAGGGGGAGCAGATATGTGCCTTGTCATTTTATCTGGAGGTTTCTGCCTCTTTCCCAAGACTGCAGCGGGCCCCCAGCAGAGAAGGAGGGGTGCAGGCCCGTGGCAGGAGGGAGGTTCAGGGAGTGAGATCTGGGGGAGCCCGCTGCTCCTCGGCCCCCATTTTTACAGGGGAGGAAACGTAAGAACTTGGGGCTTCCAACCTAAGGTTGTTCCCCTGGTTCTGCAGGAAGGCTCCCTAGTTCCTTGCCTCTCCCACCTCCCCCCTGCCTCCAGCCTGCAACAGGGCAGAACTCGCTGACCGGGGGGTCACCAGGTGACCAGTGGGAGCTCCTCGCCCCCAGTCGGACCGGAAAGCTAGGTCACAGGTTAGCTCTACGGACATGTGTTGGAGAGAAGGGTGGTGCCCGGTGGGAGAGGGGAAAGCCAGAGATCTGGTCTTGGGGCAAAGCGGGGTGAAGGGACACAGCCACCAGCCTTGTCCGCACCGTATGTCCCCAGCATTGCCGTGCAAACATGAAGCACAATCAGTCCATCCCGGAGGGACCGGAGCTATGACAAGCTTTCCAAATATTTTGCTTTATCAGCCGATATCAACACTTGTATCTGCCCTCTCTTCGTCCCAGCGGTGCCTTGTGCAATGTGAATGTGCACATCTATGCTAAACCACCATTTTATTTGGTTTTTGTTTTGTTTTGGTTTTGCTCAGATACTTGCCAAAGTGAGACTCATTGCCAGCAGCTGGGGGAAGGGGCTGAGGCTCTCTTGCCCTCTGGTTCTGGGATTGCTTTTGATCCCGGGGGACCAATGAGGTGAGGTGGGCTTCCCCCTTCCCCTCCGCTTTCCCCGGCCGGCCTGCCGTGGCTGTGGGCCTCAACTCCCTCCAGCCCGGGCTGCCCACAGGCCTGTCCCCCAAGAGGCCCTGGCTCCTGGTCTGGAAGGGAGGTGGCCGCCGGCCAACACATCACTGGGGCTGGGAACAGGGAAGGATGGCTTGGTTCTCTCCATCTGGGGAGAATGTACAGTCTCATACTAGATATTTTATGTATTATATCTATAATATAAACATATCAAAGTAAATGTTGGTGTCTTTTTAAAACCAGAAAGAAGCTGCTTCCAAGGTTTTCTGCGGGCCAGGTCACATTTGTAAATAATCACAGCATTTTCCCTGGCCGGGATCCTGACTCTCATTAGCGCTCCCTGCGTCCTGAGCCCCTGCTCCCTTTAAGGGGGTTACTTGCTTTCCCCCAGCAAGACAAATAAATAGCAGGAGGACAGGGCTCCAAGCCGAGAAGGCCCAGAGCCTGAAGAGGAGTCTCCTGGGGCGGGGGAGGGGGATCTGGAGGGGTCTGGGAGCAGGGGGTGACGTCCTGGTGTGGCCGCTCACCCGCCCCTGGGAGGGGAAAAGGGACACGGAGAGGGAGCCCTCTGCCCAGCAGCCCCGGGCTCGAGAGGCCCTTTGGCCACACTTTCTTGCAAACCACTCTCAGCCCCCAAGCAGGCCTCAGGCACGCTCACCTTTGCCCCCAGGACCCCAGGCTGGCAGGAGGACGACTCCAGGGGTGGGACCCTCCACCCCTCCCGGCTTCCTCTGGGCCAGGTGCCTGCACTCTGCCCCGTGATGCCCAGAGAGCAACCTGGAGGCCGGGCCCCTTCACACCCGCCCCGCCCCGGCCCACCCAGGAAGGGCGGCGGGCCCCCGAGTCTGCCCTCCCCACGGTGTTCGCCCTGGACGGAGCGTGAGGCTGAGTCCTGATATGCCCCCCCTCAACCACTCCCCCGTGAGGACGGGGTGCCCCCGCACCCCTTAGCAGCAGTGACAGCCAGCAGAGGAGGGTGAACCCTCATCCCTGAATTAGCAGGGCCTGGGAGGAAGTGGCCCAGGAGGCTGACGGCGCCTTTCAGATTCTGCCTGCCCTCGGAGGGGGAAAGGCCTTTTACCTCTTTCACAAGTGTTTGCTGAGCGGCTTACACGTGTGCCAGCGTGGACGGGGGCATTTGCGAGAAATTACGCATGCTGCCATTCCGAAAGCTTTAGGTTTACTTGCTTGTGTGGTTAACCCCCCCTCCCCCCGCCTTCCAACCCACCACCCTGCCCTCTCGGTCCCGTGTGTGTCGTGCCACCTCCTCACCCGCGGCCACCGCTGCTGGCAGGGGAAAGGCCGCCCAGCGCCCAGTGAGGAGGCGGCAGCCCGCCCTGCCGCCCTGGGAACCGAGGAGGCAGAGCCCCGCCACCTGCCCAGAGGCCCGGGCAGGCCCCGGCTTGCTAGGCCCCGGCAAACCCTCTCCGAGTTCAGTGCGAATTCCAGTTTTTCTTGTTTGAGGGGCTGATCCTTGGCTTCCCCTTTGCCCCCAGAGCGGGTCCCAGGACGCGAGGGGGAGGGGCGACCCCGCTTGCCCTCGCATCCCCCCCCCACTCTGCCACCCCTCCGGGAGCTGCCTCTTGCAAAGCTGCCAGCCCGTGGAAGGGCACCCCTCCGGCTGCATGTCCTGGGGGCCAGGGTGGGCTTTGCTGGGGCCAAGACAGACCCAATCGCAGCCAGCCCCAACGAGAGGGACGAGAAGGACGGGAAGGGTGAGGCCCCCAGTGTGGCCGAAGTAGACACAGAGTAGCCTGCTGGGGGAGGGAGGACCCCCTGCTCCCTGCATGTTCCCCACGCCCCCTCCTGACTGTGGCCTTCAGGGAGAACCACTCCAAAGGCCTGGCACTGAGTGCACCCCGAGTATTTATTGCATGCCTACTGTATGCCAGGGCCTGTGCCAAGGATGGGGCACTCAGCTGGGAGCAAGAGGCCTCTGCGCCTGTGTTGGGGGGGGTCACAGCTTTGTGGCCCCAACTGTGGCTTAAGGGTAACAAAATGGGGGAGATCAAAGTGTGAAGAGAGTAACCAGGGAGGGCTTCCTGGAGGCAGCAGCTTTGACTCAAGACCGGTGAGGACGGCCCCACCTGGACCCAGTGCCGGGATGCGTCTGTCTGCCCTGCACCTCCCTCCCCAGGTTGGGCACTGGCAGGGGAGCCGGCCTTCAAGGAAGGAGCAAGGGCAGGAGGGAGGGAGAGAGGCGGCTCGTTTCCCACCAGACGGTCCTGACGGTTTAGCTGTCGTGGATGTCACCCTTACCTCCCCGATCTCCTGGGAATCTGTGAGCTAGGGCTTGGCCTGACACCTGCAGTGAGCCTGGGGGAGAGGGGAGAGCTGGGGAGGAGTCTCTTCCCCCCCCAGCTCTCCCACCCCCTCCTTCCCCAAGCAGAACCTGCCAGAGCTCCCCCAGGAGCTCCTGGTTTCACAGGAGGGGACAGGGTCACTTGATGGTGGTGGCCAAGAGGGGGCGGGGAACCATCCCGGCAGGACACCACAGGCCTTCTGTGGACTCCGGGCAGAGAGGGACAGGGCGGTGGGTGGGGACCACGCTATATCCCAGCCGCCTCTTTCCCATGCTGTTGGGTAGAGCAAGGCTTCTCTTCTGTTCCCTTTTTCTGTTCTTTCCTTTAAGTAAGACAAAACTACCAGCACCTTTGGAAGATCTTCCTTGATTCCGTGGAAGATGCACGCTGTCTCTTCCCTCCAACACCCTCACCTCTCCCCATCCCCCACCTCACCCCTCTCCGTGGAGGGAGCGTTTGACGTCAGCCAAGACACAGGAAAGATACCGATTCACTATCAAAGCATCCCGGCCCCATCCCATAGCAATTAAAAAGCCAGATGGAATCTCTGGGAAAACGGCACTAATAACGCAAACAATCTGTGCTGGCCAGCGGCGGGAGCCCAGGAGCCCCAGGCGGGGGTGGGACTGGAGGGGGGAGGAGGCAGGAGTGTGAGCTCGCAGCAACGTCTGGGCCCTGCTGTGGCCAGCCGGGGGACAACGGGGGCCATCGCAAGCGTGTGCTGGGTCTGGCCGCAGCTGGGCCGTCCCCTCCGGCCCTCGCCCTCGCATGGCCCGCCATGCACCCTGGATCCTGGTGGCTGTGGACGGGGCCAGGCAAATGTGGAACCCATTACTCAGACAGCTGCGGCCTCCGCCAGCCCCGCTCTGGCTCCCAGGCGCTTTGCTGCCCTTCGCTTGTTTGTATTTATTATTTTCCTGGCGTTCTGGCCCCACCCACCAGGAACAGGCCTCTCCCGGTGAGCGGCTCCCGGCGATGCCCCATCTCTTCATTGGCTGTGCCCAAGTTCACGGCCCGCGCCTGGCAATAGCAGAAGACAGTACTGGTGGCCCCCAGTGGAGCCTGAAGCCCCATTCTAAGGGCTGCCCTTAGAATGCAAAGTGCCGGGCTCTCCGGGCAAGGCCGGGGGAGCCCACGGAGGCGGGCGGGATTGCTCGGGGAGCAGGGCTCGGGGTCCACATTTCCCTGCTGCGCTGAGGGGCCCAGAAGGGGCCTAGGTCGGGGCCCCAGGAGAAGAACCCTCTGCTGCTCTGGAGCCTTTTCTAGGCAGAGCTGGGAAGCCAGACTCTTCCATACGAGCCCATTTCTCAGACCGTGGCTTGCAGGCCCACCTGCCGCGGACTTAAAGAGGTAGTTTCCGGCCGGGCCTGGTGGCTCACGCCTGTCATCCCAGCACTCTGGGAGGCCGAGGCAGTAGGATCGCTCAAGGGCAGGAGTTCGAAACCAGCCTGAGCAAGAGCGAGACCCCCGTCTCTACTAAAAATAGAAAGACATTAGCTGCACAACTAAAAATATATAGAAAAAATGAGCCGGGCATGGTGGCGCATGCCTGTAGTCCCAGCTACTCGGGAGGCTGAGGCAGGAGGATCGCTTGAGTCCAGGAGTTGGAGGTTGCTGTGACCTAGGCTGATGCCAGGTGACAGAGTGAGACTGTGTCTCAAAAAAAAAAACAAAAAAAACCATGTAGTATTTTTTACAGCCATCAGGCTAGGTTGGGGACAGGCTTGTTTAGGAAACAGGCTTTGAGATTCTCATGCACCCAGCGTCCCTTGTCTTCACTGTCTCCTCAACCTTGTCCTTCACCCTCACCCTCCTGCAAACTGTCCTCCCGGGGGTCACCGCTAGGCCCTAGAGCCAAATCCCACGAACGCTCCGGGGGTCCTTCCTGCCTCTGGGCCTCCTGCTGCTGCCTTTGGCGCCCACAGACGCTCGGGCCCGCACAGCTCTTGCGCACATGTGTTTGATTGTAAGCTTCCCTCTCCCACTCATCTTTCTCCTTCTAAAATACATCCTCGCCATCTCCGTCCCATGCAAGGGTCCACTGGGGTGGCCAGAGGCCCACCACGCAGGGTGGGACCAGGACAGACCACTGCCAGAGGTGACAAGGGCACCAGGGTGGCCCACTCCAGATGAGCTCTTGCTTCTACAAAGTTACTATCAAAATGCAGGAATCCTGGCCAGGCACGGTGGCTCCCGCCTGTAAGCCCGGCACTTTGGAAGACCAGAGGCAGGAGGCTCACTTGGGGCCAGGAGTTCAAGACCAGCCTGGGCAACATAGTGAGAAACCCCCCGCATCTCTAAAAATAATAATAAAATTATTATTAATTAACCAGGGGCAGTGTCGTGCTCCCACAGTCCTACCTACTCAGGAGGCAGAAGCAGGAGGATCGCTGGAGCCCAGGAGCTCAAGGCTGCAGTGAGATATGATCGTGCCGCTGCACTCCAGCCTGGATGACAGAGTGAGACTCTTGCCTCTAAAATAAATAAATAAAATAAAATGCAACGATCCTAAGATAGGTAGCCCATTCCACGCTGGACAATCCTCTACACCCCTGTGTGATGAGTTTATCCCCAGAATGGGAGGGCTTTCTGCTTTAAAAGATATTTCAGGGCTAGACTCGGTGGCTCACGCCTGTAATCTTAGCACTCTGGGAGGCCCAGGTGGGAGGATTGCTCAAAGTCAGGAGTTGGAAACCAGCCTGAGCAAGAGCGAGACCGCGTCTCTACTAAAAATAGAAAAAGGTGAATGGGCCGACTAAAAATATATAGAAAAAATTAGCCAGGCATGGTGGCGCATGCCTGTAGTCCCAGCTACTCGGGAGGCTGAGGCAGGAGGATCGCTTGAGCCCAGGAGTCTGAGGTTGCTGTGAGCTAGGCTGACGCCACGGCACTCACTCTAGCCTGGGCAACAGAGTGA